GGACCCCCAAGCCTCCCTGGGCAGCCTGGGCCAGGGCTCTGTCACCCTCAGAGGAAGAAGTTCTTCCTCATCTTCAGCTGAAGCTTCCTCTGCTCCAGTTTGTGCCCGTTGCCCCTTGTCCTGTCGCTGGGCACCACTGGAAAGAGTCTGGCCCCATCCTCTTGACTCCCACCCTTGAGATAGTTATAAGCATTTAGTAGGTCCCCTCTCAGCCTTCTCTTCTCCAGGCTGAAAAGGAGAAGCTTCGTGTCCTGCCTGTCCCTGGGGCACAAAGAGTTTCATTCAGCTGCGTTGGCAGCTCGCTCTTTTTGTCAGTTGTTTGTTTCCTGTCTTTTAACGGGTCTGTGTCTCCCCAGCAGGTGTTGGCATGAACAGAATTCGGATCCATGTCTTGCCGTCGAGCCGAGGGCGCCTTACTCCCGTGCCGCGGCCGCAGGAGCCGCTGTCGTGTGCCTTGGCAGTTCTCCCAGCCGCGGCTGGAGGGGCAGGAGTTCTGCATCAAGCACATCCTTGAAGACAGGAGCGCGCCTTTCAAGCAGTGCAGCTACGTCTCAACCAAGAATGGAAAGCGGTGTCCGAACGCCGCCCCCAAACCCGAGAAGAAGGATGGGTGAGTGCTTCTGTCGCCTGGGTCTCTGGTTCTGTGCTGTGCAGAATTAGAACGGGTAGGAGAAATTCCTTCTGATCCAGCTGCTGCACTTGTGTTGCCTCGGACAAGTGGCTCCTTCTTTCTGAAGCGTTTTTAAGCTAGGAAAAAATTTCTGTGAGCGCTGGACGCTGCGTGGAGTCATCTTGGGCCTGCAGGACTGTCGGGCTCCTGCCCTCTGCCATCAGAAGGTGGCTGCAGCGATCCAGGTCCTTTGTAAGAGCTGTGCGTGCACCCACGCGGTGCCGCGCCTCCGCTCAGCCCAGCAAATTTAACTTGGTGCTCTCTGTGCTGACGCTTAATCCTCGGCACGGATCCTCGGGTCGCGTGTGCTGCGGGCTTGGTGACCTGGTGGTGCTTCTTGTTCTCTGATGCGTGTAAAACATTCTGACTGCCGTGGAAGGACCTGGAACGGTCCTCGACATCCAGTGAGTGCGTCAGCAGAGCGGTTTCGCTTACGGGAGCGCTGGCCTGCGTTTCCATGCTCGGAGGGTGCGGGGTTGTGGTCACTGGTAGTCTTGAATCTGCCCTCGGTCCCTCTGCGATAAAGAGGATCCTTCCAGCGTGGGCCAGCGCGCTCAGCGTGGAAACTGGGAGTCCAGCGTGAACGTGTGGAAGCAGAAGAGCTCACCTCAGTGGCTCCGAGTGAAAAGCTCTTTTCCTTCCCTGCGGCGGGGCCGTGCGGCTGCCGGCTCGGGTGCCAGAGGAGGCGTTTTGGCAGGGTTGGGTGGTCTGCGAGCCACCCGGCGCGCTCTGGCATCTCCCAGCCGTGCCCGCAGCCCGCGGTGGGTGGCTGCGTGTGCTGCGAGACGGCCGTGCAGGGGACGGGCTTCCCAGGTGCCAGGAACGTTTCTGACTGTGTCGCTGGTTCGTTTTGCTGGCTGAGGGTTTGGAGTTGTAATGAGCTTGTGATTTGCTCCCGCAGTGCGTCGTTCTGTGCGGAGCATGCCCGTAGGAACGCTCTGGCGCTCCAGGCTCAGATGAAGAAGTCCAATCCTGGGCCTGCAAGCGAGACGCTCCTGTGCCAGCTTAGCTCCTACGCCAGGACAGAGCTGGGCTCCCAGACCGCCGAGAGCAGCCGCAGTGAAGCCAGCCGGATCCTAGGTGAGAACTGACAGCGAAAACCAGTGAGAGAGCACCTGGAGCTCTCCATTCTGCATGGAAATACCAAGAATATCGCTGCTTAAATCCACTGAAGAAGGATCCCAGGGGTCCATGGGTAAAAGATGGTGTTCCTCAAGCCCTGACGTGTCTCGCCTGCTGCTGACTGCAGACAAGTCACACCGCCAGACCAAAATCCTGCAGGTTTTCTTCCCTTGCAGTCGCAGAGCAGGAACCTTAGCTAGCTTCCCTCGTTGCTGGGTTAGTCTCAAGTGGTGTGTCCTGGTTTCAGCTGGGATAGAGTGCATTTTCCTCCAGGTAGCTGCTGTGTTTGGGATTTAATATGAGAAGAATGTTGGTAACACTGGTGTTTTCAGTTGTTGCTGTGAAATCAAAGACTTTTTCCAGTCTCCTACGTTGAGGTGATGAGCAGCTGGGCAGGAGCTGGGCGGGAGCACAGGCAGACAGCCAGCCAGGCTGGCCGGTGGAGATACTCCATACCGTGGGTGTCGTGCTCAGTCTCATTTGATGGATGGGGGGCGGCCAGGGGGGCAGGAAGCTGTCCGCTGTTCTCGTTTTCTGGGAGTTCGATTCCTTTCTTTTCTGGGAGTTTGGTGTTTTGGGGGAGTTTTGCAGAATTTGCAGAATCTGTGAATTTGGGGTTCTGCAGTTGCTGCTTGGGGACTGACTGCAAATCGATCATCGGGTGGTGAGAGATTGCGTTGTATATAGTTTGTTTTGAATATTCATTATTATCATTACTATTATCATTATTATTGGTGTTAGTGTTTACTTTGTTTTCTTACTAAGCTGTCTCTGTCTCAACCTCCAAGTTTTGCCTGCTGTCCCTTTCTCCTCCCCATCCTGCTGGGGGAAGCGGAGGAGGGGTGAGCAAGCGGCTGTCAGGTCCTGGTTGCCGGCTGCTGGATTAAACCACAGCATGGTGCTGTTGGACGCTGGCTCGATGCTGAGCTTCCCGTCTCGCAGGGCAGCTCGAGGTTCCTTGGCGGGATGATCAGTCCCCAGGAGCTGTGTGTCTTGGTTACGCTGAGTTGGTGGCTTTCCTGTCGTTCCTGTGCTGGGGAGGAGAAGCCTCTCTTGGCAAGAGGCAGAGCCAGTTCACCTCCGTGCAGCTGTGGAGCCGAGCTCCTGCGTCTCCGGCTGTCCCGTGCCAGAGCAGCGAGTGCTGGGGCGTAGGGCAGCGTCCTGCCCCTCAGCGCCGCTTGTCTTTGCAGATGAGGACAGCTGGAGTGACGGCGAGCAGGACCCCATCACAGTGGACCAGACGTGGCGAGGGGACCCGGACAGCGAGGCTGACAGCATCGATAGCGACCAGGAGGATCCCTTGAAGTACGCTGGATGCCGGTAGCTGCTGGCTGCTGACACACGTGTAGTGCGCGGAGCTTTTTGAGCTCAGCGTGGTACCAGGGGAGATGGCGGCTGTGTTGAAGAGGTGATGAGATTAATGGTGTTGCAGCTGGACTTTGTGGCCTGGGGAGCTGCTAGGTGTGAATGCTCACGAGTCTTGGACCTGGTGGTTCTTGTCCTCTTCCAGTGTGGAGTGGTCCGTTCAGCAGCAGTCTCTTAAAAAATGAAATCAACCCAACAATATAAATTCAGTATTTCTGCTCATCACCCATTGATCTGTCTAATCCAGGCCTGCTCAGCCCGTGTTGCTGATAACGTCGGTGTCGTTCGGCCGGGAGCACAGCTCCGAGGGAGCCGTGGAAGCTTCCCCCTGTTTGTGTGGGTGTTTTTCAGGCATGCTGGCGTATACACAGCTGAGGAGGTGGCTTTGATCATGCGAGAGAAGCTGATCCGCCTGCAGTCTCTCTACATTGACCAGTTCAAACGGCTCCAGCACCTTCTGAAGGAGAAGAAGCGCCGATACCTGCACAGCCGCAAGGGAGAACACGAAGCCATAGGCAAGTAGTGGTACGGGTAATCCCCTTCCCCTGGCCAAGGGTGCAGCGCTGCTCGCTAACACGCACAGAACTCCACGTTAGGGGGGAAAAAAGGTGGTTTTGCCCTTTTTAGAAGCAGATTTCAGAGCAGTCCTGTCTTGGTAAGGGTGAAAATTACCACAGGGCTGAAACTCAGCTGGAGAGGTATTTCTGCGTCTGGCCGTGTGCCCGGAGATTGGTATCGTTTGGGTTAGAAAGGCTGCAGCATTTCTTTGCTCTTCAAAGTTTGCAGTGTTGTCAGGAAATGAGACTACAAAGTTAATTCTGAGACAAAAGTTCTTTTTTTGTATGGGATTTCCTGTTTTTGGTTTCATAAACAAAAAATTTATTCATCTGTGAGGTCCTGCCTGTATCACAGAATCACAGAATAGTAGGGGTTGGAAGGGACCTCTGTGGAGCA